GAAATTCTAAAAATAAGTTTCTAAATGGTTTTGCTTTTCTTCCATAATAATTTTTTATTCACATGGCTTAAAAGATAAATGTAATATATACATTGTATTTCAATTTTAACTCTTACAAATTAAGTTGCCTTTGTATGTATGTTATAATCACATGGCAAAGACATATATAATTAGATAAAGTGTTTGCATTAATTCACTATTACAACAAAAATGAAGAAAGTGACTTAAAGAACATGTAATTTGAGCTATATATATAATGAAATAGTTTAAAAAAAATAAAAATAGTAAAGTAATTTTGTTTCCAATGCATGTTATCTTGATAGACATATATGAAAAAGAATGTTTGTTATTCAACATACATGAATTTGGTCTAGAAGCAAATCTTATGCCGCTATTCTGATCATGCTTTTAACAATAGGCAATGATTATGTTATCTGCCATATAATTTATTTCAAGATAAAGAAATACACAAATATATTTAGAATTCTTATTAAAAATTCAGATGCAGTATAACTTGTGTAAATTACGGCAACCAAAGATATATGTATTTATCAGTGTTTATACAGATATATAGATATTTCCACTTTAAAAATGTACATGTAATGATGTATGATGACTGATGATATTTTAGATCAATAGAAATATAAATAAATAATCATTTATATATGCAAAAATTAGCTGTGTTTTTTTTTACATTTATGGCCATGGTGGCAGTGCCCTTGAAGAGGAGAGAAGATTGTGGTTGGAAAGAAAATAACAAAATTTAAAAGCATAATTCATCAGGTCTTGGATTTCATGATATAGGTAGTCTGAATTATGAACCATCTAAAATTTTACAGATTTGTCGCTTTTTTATCTCTAAATTAACAGTCATGATAAAGTATGAAAATAGTAGAAGTTGTATTAGAAAGAATAAGGTTACTTATAATTTAAATTATATACATTATATGATTAGGCTAAATAAAACAGTCTGGTAAGATTATTCGAATTCAGCATTTTCAGACTCAGAGCAATTTGATGACTTTCAATTTTCACTTTTTACAAAACTGATTTTGTAGAGAAACATAAGTATTCAAAAAAATAATATTTAAGTAAATCATAATGGTAAAAACAGCTGCGGACAGGTTTTAAAGTCTAGCTGAATAATTTTATTTATGTTTCTGTAAGATGCGAAAACATGAAACATAAATTACTCATGTTATTATCGTCACGCATTCCAAAATACAGCGAAGAAATACGACAAGCAATTAGTAAAAGAACAACATGCATCTAAGAAACTATCTATTATAGCGGAAAATGCTTACCTTTGATGATTTTACTAAAATATCGTACGTCTTTGTTGTGTCACGTCCTTTTACTTTTCAAATATCCGCTCGAGTGCGGAGCGCCACTCTTGTCAGGAACGCTAACTCAAATGGTAAACTGATCCGCAGCGGTTACTTCCCTTGATAAGTGGTCAGTCGCAGTATTAGATAACAGATATTAAAATTAAATATATACTATATTTGAAAGCATTTAAGAGCATATGTGTTGATCAGATTACACTTAAATCAATATTTAATTGTGTTTAATTCAGAAACATTTGCACGGTTTATATACCATCGATCCTAATGCCGATCAAAAATGTAAACTTGTGATTTTTAAATGTAGAAAATACAAAAAAAAAATCAAAACTAAAATTTATTTTAATGTGATAAACGATGTAAAAGAAGTAAATATTGATAAATTAATTCATCTCCCAATTCAACAGCATTTATCAACAACGTTGGATTTTAGTTGAAAATTCAACGTTGATGTAACGTTGATGGTTAATCCCTGCAGTTGTCTATAGTTGGATATTGGTTGAACAACGTCACGACTTACTTTCAACGTTGATTCAACGTTGACTCAACGTCGTGTGCCTGCTGGGATAGGAATATAGTATTGGTATATAAACATTTAACCTACCTTTACAATCCTTCCAGCAATGCTGGTCCTGTGTTTTGGCGGGGATCGAAGTGCTGTCGTGACAGGCACAACCTCCGCATCCCTGTCACTCAGCATATCCTCCAGACAGCGCTGATGATATTCGGGCACAACCAGTCCACCAGTCATGCCCACCTTGCTCTTGCTTGTTACAACAAGAATTTCAACCCCATTTTCTGTCCTGGATATGACGTTGTATAAGATCACGTCCTGATTCACCACAAGCTTCGTAAATGCATCTCTCTTGTAACAGATGACTTTCATCAGCTTCTCCTCCGTTGATATGCCAACCGTGAGGCTTTGCTTGTCCTCTCCATTTGATGAATATTCAAACACGGGCTTCCTCACAAGGACCTTGCCCTTGAACTTGTTGCCCATTGGGGTAATGGTACTGTGACTGTTCATCTTCCTGAAACAAGTGAAATCGCACAAATATTATTAACAAACCATATATACAAACAACATATTCAAAATTGTTAAGGAGTTAAGACATCTAGATTCATGAAGTTTACAAAAAGGTTACTTATCAGGCTTGTGAAATATATTTTGGTGACTTAAAAAGCCTTACTCTGTAACAAATAATTTTAGGTTAAGCTTCAAGTTATCTTGATTCGAACTTCATAGTCAATGTAAACTAAAGAATCTGCTTTCGAAATTCATGCTGATTTACAGTGGCATAACTTTACGCATTATGATATAGTGTATTATTGCTTTATAAAGGCTTTATTCCAGACATATTTTCTTAACTCCATAGTCAATGTAAACTAAAGAATCTGCTTTCAAAATTCATGCTGATTTACAGTGGCAGAACTTTACGTATTATGATATAGTGTATTATTGCTTTATGAAGGCTTTATTCCAGACATATTTTCTTAAAGTGTTATATTTATACATAATTATGACGTCATGTATTATGAATCTGTGTTTGAAATAAATCTTTTCTTATTAGAACTGCAATAGGTAAGCGAGATTTACCTGATGCTAACAATTAAATTATCTTTCTACTGTCTCAATACTAACAGTATGATTCATATACAATAAATATTGGTTTATGGTCAGAATAGCACGATTCTAAAGTACCAGACCCAACTACACTACTATTTGATGTAACATAAATGTGATCTAGACAGCTGTTATAGTCAGTAGTGACAACATTTATCAGCTGGACACAGCCTAAAGTTTCTTGAAAAAGCCTAGCAATACGTTTGTTGTCTTCATAATCATAATTGAAATCCCCCATCAAAATTATGTTCTGTTGTGTTAAATGGAATAGAGAAGTTATAGCATCTAACAGACTGCGCAAGAACTGCGAGATGTTTGAGACTGTAGCACATCCGGGAGGACAATAAACAAACCCCAGTACAGTGTCTTTGCAGCATAACAGAGGGCATTCAATGCTAAAGCATGTATAACACAAGCACTTATCAAATTTCAAACTGTTCTTTATATAAACAGCTATTCCATGAGACGCTTCTTCAAATGAAAATGACAAATTGTAGAATCCATCAATATCATAGTCCTCAGATAATGGAGATTGTAATTTTGTCTCGACAAAGCCAATAACATCCGCTGCAAGCAAGTTACGCTCATTTTTAATATCTTGAATGTGTTTTCTTAATGTTCTACAATTTTGGAAACAAGGTTACAATATAGAATAACCATCTGTGGAGGGACAGAACGCCATCTTATTTATAGTGGCTTATGTTGCAAAGTAAATAAAAAAAATCTGCTAAAAAAATTGCTTTCCCTTGGCTGCAAGTCTGTCAATACATTTCATTTGCCAGATCAAGAATCTAGCAAAATTTTGAATTATAGAGGAATATAGTGTAAATTCTTAAGATCAACGAATTGAACAGGTCTCTAATTTGTTAAGTTTCAACTCACCTCTCAGAGTGCTATATATATATATATATGTACTTTCAAAGGGGAACTTTTTGTTTTTTCCCGTCCTGTTCATCAGAGACTGCAGACCGTTTGTCATGGTTCTAAAAACAGAAAGAAAAATCTTTACATTACCCTTAATCCTGTATGATAAACATCCCTGAGGGGGCTACAATTTGCAAAACATGGACTTTCATTTCTGATGAAAAATGAGGACATTTTTACGTATCCATTACAGATAGCTACTTAGCATTTAATAATGTAGTTTCAAGTACATTGTATTTTCATTAGGTTTTCAATACTCACTTCTCCATTATCCTCTTAATGTGCTCGGCAGCAGAGTTCCCTCCTATTCTGTTGAATGTGAATTTCTGTATACAGAAACAAAGTTAAATTATTGTTATATTATTTGGATTTATATACAGTTGAGTAACAGTGCAATATATTATTATCAGAGCTGGATAGTATAACAATTTAGACCAAGTCAAAAAGGGAAATAATTTTAAATTGCAATTCAGATTTATGGACCTTGATGGTACGAAACTGCACATTGACACAGAAGACAATTCAAGACATGTTTGAAGTTCAAAGCAATAACTACAGTTGAATAACATATGTATGGAATTTAAACAACAGCTGTCAAACGACAGCGCACTCGACTATTCAAAGTTCTGGATAGTACAGGATTGCATAAGTCAATATAAAATCAATTATTTGTCAAGCTAAAAAGTAAAATTATCCTTAACAATAATCATTATGATGATGGCACCAGGGTGAGTGTAATAGATCTCCTTATTCTTCGAATATAATCTAGCTGAAAATCAATACAAAAGTTTGTTTCATACCAGTTTTTCAAGGTTGTCCCCCTCCTCGAGAAACTGTTCAAACTCTTTCAGCTCATCAAGAGTTGACAGTTGCTGGATCTGTAATCCCCTGCACTGTTCCACTGTCACCTTCCCTGTACTTTTCACTGAGTCACGTATCTCCGTTAAGAGATACAGAACTTTCCTCTGAAAATATCATTGATGCAATTCCGTGAAAATCCACTGCTGCCTGTGTGGACATTTTGGTATTAATTTGCTGTCCAGTTGCTCCTTATTTTATAATGTAAGAATGAAGGATTCTGGGAACATTCATTCCATGTCGTCTGCACCATGACTATTAAAATGTTCTAGATGAAATGGAACCATAAATTTAATAGAAATCTGACTTTGAAAACTTTTTAAAAGTTCATTAAAATAATTGATATTCCATTTGAAAAAAGAATTGAAAAATATTACATACACTTGGAGATTTTCAAAGTCCTGCTTGTCGTACATGAATTTTAGCTTTTCATTATGGGTGAACAAATGGATTTTTGGATCATGGGATGCCTGGAATTACATGGGCCCTGTTGATTATGCAAGTGCGACAACACTCCTTACTTTATAATTGTGTTCTTTGTATAGAGGTGTTAAAATCATAAAGACAAGAAAATGCACTTTACACAGTGCTTTAATACTATGCAACTGACGTCCTTCATCCATGGGAAACAGATCCTTTTTCTTTGACGGGCTTCCTTTCCTGGACCGGCTCCTTTCTTTTTTTTTCGAATGACGCGCTTTTTGTGTCTTCTCCTTACCTCTTCATCATCGTCGCTACTACTTAGAGAATCTGACTCAGAAATAATTTGTTTGCGTTTGTCTGAAAAATAAAAACTTTATGCTCACCATCTAAAAATACTCCAAATTTTTAAACATGAGCAGCAAATGTCAATTATAAATGACATTGGGAAATATCCGTCAATAATTAACCCTACAATCTCTTCGCTCTAAATCTTCAAAAAACAATAGTATATTAAAAAAAGATGTTCATGTATCTTATCTTGTTTCTAAATTATTACAAATTTATATTATGATAATGTAATTACAGTAAGTTTCATGTTCATGAAAATTTCCAATGAACACAGTTTTTATGCTGCATTACGTATAATGCATACATCATTACATGCAAACTTATTGTATCCCCAAGCTAGAATAAATCACAAATGACCTCGAGATCTCCGCTCCTCAAACTCCTGTATGAGTTGCCGAGCCGTCTTGTTTACTCCAGTCTTCGCTTGTCCACGATTCTCTACCCTGCCATTTGCGTTCTTTTTCCCGGCACTTTGGTTTTCCTTCCTTCCATTTTTGTCCTCTTTCTTCCCACTTCTGTCCTGCTTGCCATGATGTATCCTAATGGGAGGCGAAGGCAGTTTCCTTTTCTCCGTTGGCTTTTTAACCTGGCTCATATCTATAAATAAGTAGAGATATTTAAGCACATTATTAATTAGCACAACTATGCCCAGCAGTGATATCAAAGATAGGTACGCTTGAGCTACACATGTTTTATCAATTTCCTATTCAACCTCCTTGCAGGCTCTCAAAAATAATAAATTATACAGGACACATGATGATTTGCAATGATAAGGAATGAATTTAATAAACATTGGTGATTGGTTGATATAAAATTATATAATTTATATCTGTTTATCACTTGCCCCTCTCCTGCTGTGTGTCTGAAGGCAGAATTCCGCTCAGGGCGAATCTTTTTTGTGGGAAAGCAATTCAGTTGGCTTGCGGAACAAGCCAGAATATTTAAATGATTATTTAATAATTCAATCTGACAAGCTTTTTTTCTTACCCGGCTCTTTAGACTTGTTTTCCTCTTGTTCAGCACCTGATTTGATTGGAAGTTCTGGAGTCAAGTTATAGTCCTCTTCTTCATTTGGACCTTTTCGTCTCCTAATACCATCTATGTCTGAGATGAGAATATAAAATAAAAGTGTAAATTACAATTCAAATAAGTATCAAGTATTGTGTATATTATTATTTTTTTGGGAGTCGTGGCTCAATTTCATTTTGGCTTGTTCATAAATTATGGTAAAAGCTGTAGCCATGATTGTCGATCTTCCATATATAATAATTAAATTGCTAAAACATGAAATGTCAATTCGCCAAATCATATATCAAGCAAATTTTGACTTCTGTTACCATAGCAATAATATAAACACAAATCTATAGGGTTTTTCATGGCAATATAGCGGAGTATAAATATTATTCAATATCAACCGAGGAATCCCAACAATGAACTTGATGTATATATTGAAAAACCAAATTTTAATGTAGTAAAATTTTTATTCAAAGGAACAAATATGAACACTTAGACTAGTACCTGTGACAAAATCATCCTCCCAAACTTTCTTTGTGTGTTTCCTTTTTCTGGTTTCCTCACTAGAGTCTTCACTTGCAGACTCTACAGTAGTGGTGAAGTCGTACTCTTCACACTCTTTTTTACTATCTGTAGACAAAAGCAATGAAAGGATTTTTAGAAATATACATAATAAAATCATATTTAATTTTAAACAAACATATAATATTAAATGTTAAATTGTTCGGGACACATGGTTATCATGGTTATGGATGACTACTAAATCTACATTATGTGACATTGATTCTTTTTTATGTTTTTATAATACATTTTATGTATCAACCTTTGAAAATATATTTTGATTTAACATGTTTAACAAAATTTACTACACATCCAGTATCAAAAGAAGTATTTTTTTGTTAATTATTATATTTTAATGTTCAGCAAATCACACCCTGCCGCAAGTTTTATGGATTTTAGTCAGGGTTATGAATCTCAGTGAATTGCTAATTTGCAGTCCTGTGAATGCAATATTTTACAAAATTCTGAAAAATAGCATAGACAGGAGGCATGATTTTAAGGAAAACTTTCTGAATGCAATTTCACAAGATATCCTAATGAGAACCTTGTAAAGGTCTAAATAACAGCTGGAAAGTCAGACATTCGATTATTGCAGCAATTTGATACAAACTTGACTGAAATTTGACTTTAACTAGGGGAAAAGTATCCCAGTTGCCATCAGGAGCACACATCTCCGCCATCTTCCTTTCCGTGTTTTTCCCCCTAGGCCATCTCACCGAGTTTCCTTGGATCCAAAAAGATCCGGAAAGACCCCCTCCTCCTCCCTATCTTCCTCCCATACCGCAAGGGACCATAGTGGGCTACCTGTAGCAACTGCTGCGCTGGTCATACTTGGTATACTTCTGTATATATACAAACATTTAAATTATGTAATCACCATATTCATTTTACAAATAATCACTCATGTCCATAGAGGCACAGGGGGTTGGGGAGCTTTTGCCAAAATTTCTTAACTTTACACTGGAATTTTGCCAATTTTTAGCTCGACTATACGAAGTATATGGAGAGCTGTCCTACTCGCCCCGGCGTCGGCGTCCGCGTCCAGATTTTAGATTAAATTTTTGGTGCAGTAAAATATTTTTCACAATAACTTTGTCATTTCGTAAGGTATCAACTTCAAACTTCAAATATATGTTTCTTATCATCAACCACATTTTATGTGACAAGGTTCATAACTCTAGCACCAATATTTTCAGATTTATCTCCCCTTGAACTTAGAATATTCCTTAAAAAATACTATTTTTTACTGATACTTCTTTATTTCTTAAGGGATCAACCTCATACTTCAAATATATGTACCTTATCATCATCACCATCTTATGTGACAAGGTTCATAACTCTAGTACCAATATTTTCAGATTTATCTCCCCTTGAACTTAGAATTTTCCTCAAAAAATAATATTTCTTACTGTTTCTTCTTTATTTCTTAAGGGATCAACCTCATACTTCAAATGTATTTACGTTATCATCATCCCCATCTTATGTGACAAGGTTCATAACTCTAGCACCAATATTTTCAGATTTATCTCCCCTTGAACTTAGAATTTTCCATAAAAAATATTATTTTTTACTGTAACTTATTTATTTCTAAAGGGATCAACTTCATACTTCAAATATATTTACGTTATCATCATCCACATCTTATGTGACAAGGTTCATAACTGTAGCACCAATATTGCAAGAATTATCTCCCCATAAACTTAGATTTATTTACTAGAAAAATGTTATTTTTTATTTTAACTTTTTTACTTTTAAAGGTATCTACCTCAAACTTCAAATACTTATTCCTTATCATCAATTACATTTTATGTGACAATGGTCATAACTCTTGAAGCAATATTAACAGATTGTTCTCTCTTTGAACTTAGGAGTTTCTTTAAGAAATATAATAACTTCTTAACTTTTTAAGGTATCTACTTCAAACTTCAAATATATATTTCTTATCATTACACAAATGTTGTGTGGCAAGATCCATAACTCTAGCATGACTTTCTAGAAATATTCCCCTTGATCTTGGAATTTATGTTAACAAATGTTATTTTTTTACTATAACTTAATACATAATTATACATAATTGATTTTTCATTCATAGTTTTGTCCTCCTTACTGTGTCCAGTATTTTATTAGTCGAGCTTCGCTGTCTCCTGTGACAGCTCTTGTTGAATACCCCCCTCCCTTAAAAGAAACACCTTACTGGATTTAAATTAAATTATTAATATATGAAATACTACTGCTTCAAACTAAATCATGCGCTTCAAAGTCTGTAAACATGCTGACTAGAGAAATTAAAGATGCACATGCTTTTTATCAAATCACACAATTAACATGATTATAAAACTATTAATATGTTATTTAGGAAAAAGGGTAACTACTTGTTCACAATTAAATGACCAAGTCGGTCAACTAGATTATTTTATACCTTGTACTAAATAAAATATCTTACAATGGTTAACCATTAATTTATGAATACTATCCTCTATTCAAAAGGCAAACTTACGCATAATGACAAATAATCTATCAAAATCTCTCCACCTCATGCAGCATTGGTATTTACACTGTCCTTTCCCCATCTTCTAAGCAGACAACTTTCCTATCCAGATCTTTCACTTCCAGGAGTTGCCTCCTTGGACGTGTGACATTCTTTAACCTACAGACGTCGAGTACTGTCGAAGGCAACGGACTGGTGTACAAGTCTTCTACATCTCTTGAAGTGAATAAGTCACAGACAAGTGTCTTTTCTCTTTTTTCCCTCACAAAAGCATATTTCCCATTAATTGTCAAAAAAACAAGAGTCCTTGAATTTTTCCGAAACTTATGTGTATTTTGGTTTCAAATGACGCCTTTTAAGGTTTTTTTCCATCTCAGTTTCTCTTTTTGCAACTTGTGATATGGGATTCTTTGCATTTCTCACATTTTTTTTTAATTTTTGAAGGTAGTTTTCGAATGTAAATGCAGATATTTCATTCAACGAGGAGTTATAGAACACAACATCATCAGCGATATGAGATAATCCATGTACATTGTATGTAATAAATGTGTTTCCATAAATGGATGCTGCTTCTCTTATAAAATATACTAAAAGTTCACGAGTACATTGAACATATTCATTCCTCAAGTCTGATTTTGACAACAGTAGCACAGAAATTGCAACATTGAGTACCATAAAATGGTCAAATATCTTATCTGTGACAATGCCACTTAGAACTATGGGGCCAGTGTATAACAAAAACTGTCTGAATTCAGTTGCTTTCCAATGCTCCATTTCAGTAATAGGTCTGGGCTGGCGAGCGAATTTTCGAGGCATTTTACCGTTGAAGGAAGACAGTCTATCAGAGATCCTTCTGAACTGTTGTTTTGAGAGTTTACACGCTCTTGGCCCATCTCTTAAGAACACCAAAATCCTTTTGACCACACCAAGGCATACCAAATGCATGTAGTCTAAGGGGAACTTTGATATGCAGGAAATACCAGCATCTAAGAGGGGAGAACGAGCTATCTGATGTTCAGGGTACTCCATTCTTGAAAATTCTACATCTGATCGCAGCAAAGGTAAATCATCATCCTCTTCTGGGAGGCGGTATGTGACGCGGCGTTCATAGTACTCTCCCCTTATCTGGCATCTCTCACAACTATGGTTAGCAGTATGACCTTTGATGCACTTTAAAAATGCCCTTGCTGGAGCATCACATACAAAAACCTTAATTTGGATGTCAACAACTTCATCATTGATGCGGATGCCATCTTCACGTATATTCAATAGTTCAGAAACCAAGTCTGACAAATAGTCATCTATAGAACTCGGCTTCGAATTTCCATAAAATATAGCAACGATAAATGGTTCCAAATTATCAACAGAGCATAAAATTGGCCAACACTGAATATTACTTGATTTATACACCGGCACACCATCAATGTTGAAGATCAACTTCATTTCATGCCCAACAGCATATGTGGGATACATTTCAATAAGCTTCAGCAGCCCGTTTCCGCTCCAAAATATTTATAGGCACCTCCACACTTTTCTTCAATGCGTTTAACATGTCTTGGAGTTTTAAGCAAGGTACGCGCATCTTTTGGCAAGTCAATATCCCTTAGTCTTAGAATACCCAGAAGCTCATTAACAGAAGAACGTGTCAACCTATTCTGTGTCACCCAAGCAGAAAGATCCCCAGACAAACTATTTGCTTCTTTATCACTGTCATCACTATCGAAATCAAAATTATCACTTTCACTGGTTGTTTCAAGTTCAGAGTTTGGACTACTACTTGATACTTCATTATGTGACAAAGTTGAGCTGTCTGAGTCCGAATTTGCAGCATCAGATTCAGAATGAGAGTCTGGTTGTTGACTAACTTGACCTGCATTGTAGTCTTCATTTTGGTCATTTTCAATGTGACCGTCATTTTGAACATTATCATCAGAATTGCTGCTATCATCACTACTGCTGCCGTTTTTTAAATTTTGGATGATAGCTATTGAAAAATATCAGGCAAATACACAATTAAACCAAGGCAATTTAATAAAAAAAAATTAAGCAAAGAAAGATCTCATCACTCCCCGGCATTATCAGCTGAACTAATAATGAGCTCGCATTAGGCACTATATTTGGTTCAGTTAAGAGTTATACTATTTAACAAGGATCCAATTAATTTTTTAAAAAAAATTAACCCTGTTGTCACTCAAAAAGTGGTTCTTTAAACTTATCCAAAGACATGCCAATTTTTTTTAAGGTCTTCTATCATTTCAGCAATATTAATTTTTTCTCAATAAAAGTTAAAAATGATTGATTAAAAGCAAACTCTTTACATTCAAACTGCTAACTAAGTTATACACAAAATGCCAATGCTCATAAACTAGCATAACAACAAAACATCGATTGGTTTTCTGCACCCATCGCGCACTTTCAATCTTTCGCTTCAAGCTTATACAATGAATGTTGGATGAATATTTTCTTATTCTAATTAATGTTAGTAATTATAAAGTAACCTAAATAGTTGCAGACAAAAGCTTAACATCAGCTTTTAACATAAATTGTTTTATCTTAACAAGGACAGCGTTACACAAAACTCCAGATGCTCAAATAAGCAAACAACAAACCTATGTTTTGCACACAGCCCCACTTTTCAATTCTCCTAATCAAGCCTAGTGAATTGTTAATACTAAATAAAGCTGCAGACAAGAACGGAAAGTGGAAAATAAAGCAAAATTTCCAGCAAACAGTAATGTGGTCCTGTACTTCAACCACAATACTAAAAACCTATCCTTATTTAAAGTTCTCAGTCAGAAGTAATAGAATGTGAAAACATAAACAACCACAAATCATGAACATCTAAATGTGTATACCACCCGCTGTTGCCCAACCGCCAACCCATCTACCAGACCTGTCTGCAACAATGTGTAAGCAATATGTTTTGTAGGGAAAAAAAGTTGACACTTGTTTTATCAGTCTTTTTACAATCGTATTTTTCAATTGCGATAACAATTAATTTGTTCCGTTTACTGAACAAGAAAGGAAAATATTTAAAAGTGGTTAACAGATACACATTTGTCACTACTATTAACAACAAAAGCTATGTTTTATGGGTAAAGTGATAAACAAGGCCATTTTATGAAATAATTAATTACCTAACAATATGGTTAGACACTAAACTACATACTTAATGCACAGTAGGGCCAAAGTACAAAAAATATGTCTGTTTCTTGTAGCATGGCCAGAAAAATGGGTCAGTAGAAGGGATTTCTAGTATTTAATCTAGATTGATGTGAAAAATTTACTGGAAACCATATCATTAGATGTAAAACATGCTTTTTGTGAACAAAACTGCATTCAGAAATGTTGTTCTTTATTTTAACGACTTGATTAATGTTTTTATCCTTACACCATTTGTATATGTAAAAATAAATTGCACTCAACAGGAAAAAATAGAGTTGGAAGAGTTACAGTTAACAGACTTATTTTTGAGGCGTAACACATATTTATTTACCTCTATAAAAATTTAAAGGTACTAACCACCGTTTTAAGAATTTACAAGAAAAAGAAAAGAAAATTGTCAATAAGCCCAATACTTTTGCTATCATCGTGTTCAGTAAGTTAATATTAGATAACTGGCATAAAAATATTGTTACGAAATTCAAGCAAATAGTCGTTAAACCTGTTTTTGTATTTCAAAATTTTACTAGGTAGGTACCTCTTTACTTTGTAACTCATGTGTATATATAGTTTTTAATTTAGCCACTGCCCTAATAACATTCCTCCATAGCGCAGTCGGTAAGCAAGCTTTTTATACACAGTCACCATAACACCTCAGGTTGCGGGTTCAAATCCCATGTTCCAACACATATTTGTTTTAATTTTATTGTTTTTACCCCTTTATTTTATGAAAAATATGTTTCAAATTGAAAAATTTGAAAAAAAATAAACATCAACAATTCTTTTTAATCCAATAAAACAGTGTCATATTGTCCAGTGCTCAGCATCCAAATGAAGTTAACATTTCAGGTTCTTACACTAAATGTCTGTTACAACTTTTGTTTGTTTTATGACAGATTGTCAACATTTTGGTTAGGGCCAAGCTTGGTTCTTCTTATTCTTCCTCCATCTCTGTCTGATGCATTTCTAAGACCAATCTTTGATAAAGAACTCCAATATCATGTCCATTTTGCCTGTGGAAAGATCTTCTCTGTTTACCAGCCCCTATAGAAATAAAGGATTGAGAATTTCTGTAAAATCATGATGATTATTTAGTGTAGCCAGTTCTAAGGTTAACCTTATCTAAACATTTGGATTGTTTCATTTAAACATAGAAATAGTAAATAATTACATATTTGAGTTGGCCTGACATATTCTATATACCTGAGGGTTATGTTTAGCGCCCAAGCACCTTTTCTAGTCCACCATAAGGTGCTATACGAAGAACCCTTAGTCCAGCGTCTCCCCAGGCAGTATTAATAGCCGCAGAAAAATCAATCTAATTATTTCCAAAAATGCTTTCTAGGAAATAAATATTGTCTTCTTTTTAAAATTATCACAAAAATACCATGGTCAAACAGCTTTCCGCCTAATTTTTAAACTATATCGTAAACACAAAAAAAAGCTTTTTTAGACTTGTGTGTGTGACTGGTCACATCAATTTTTACAGCACGTCTTGAGTTGAACATTAAGAAAGTAGCGTTTAACAGCATGTACTCCTTTGTAAATGCACATTTTCAGCTTTTTCATGTTAGTTGTCCACGGCTTTGAGCAAATCAATTTGCATGAAAACTGAAAATTAAGTAAAGAACAAAAATATCTTACTAAGAACTGCAGATTTCAGTTTCAGTGACCCAAATGACATCTTTCCTTTGGCTCCCGTCCAATTGTAATGCACTGCAAGGCTGTTGTGAAGGGCTTCCTTCATGATTCGCTTAGCCATCATTTTTGACTGAAGATCCACCAATACTAGAAAATAGCTGACCTGCAAGAAAGCAATTGCAATATGTATTCATAAAATAGGATTTTTACAGTGCTATGTGGGGCACTAAGTAATTTATTTTGTTGGTTGCAGCACGATTTTTTTTTTTTTGGGGGGGGGGGGGCAAAACTGTGAAAAACTTTCCCTCTAATTAAATTTACTTGAACTCTAAAGTAATCTAGCATCAGTAAAAAAGAATCAATAACTTAAACAAACAAATCACAGTGTTTGGGAGAAAAAGCACCAAAGAATAAAAACAAACTGTCACAGTTTTTTGTAAAGTCAAATATCTCAATTATTGCTTGAGATATTCAATTGAAACTTACAATACTTATTTATAGTAACAAGGTACATCAGATTGACAAGTTGGATAACTCTACCTACAATATTGACAGAATTATACCCCTTTTTAGCTCACCTGAGCATGCTCAGGGTGAGCTTTTAGGATTGATGATTGTCCGTCGTCCGTCGTCCGTCCGTCCGTCGTCCGTTCACATTTAGTTGTTAACACTCTAGCGGTCACATTTTTGCCTCAATCATCATCAAACTTGGTCAGGATGCTTATCTAGTTGATAGCTCGGATGAGTTCGAACATGGGTCATCTCGGATGAGAAACTAGGTCACAAGAGCTAAAAATAGAAAAACCTTGTTAACACTCTAGAGGTCACATTTTTGCCTCAATCATCATCAAACTTGGTCAGGATGTTTGTCTAGGTGATAGCTCGGATGAGTTCGAACATGGGTCATCTCGGATGAAAAAGTAGGTCACCGGAGCTAAAAATAGAAAAACCTTGTTAACACTCTAGCGGTCACATTTTTGCATCAATCATCATCAAACTTGGTCAAGATGCTTGTCTAGGTGATAGCTCGGATGAGTTCGAACATGGGTCATCTCGGATGAAAAAGTAGGTCACCGGAGCTAAAAATAGAAAAACCTTGTTAACACTCTAGTGGTCACATTTTTGCATCAATCATCATCAAACTTGGTCAGGATGCTTATCTAGTTGATAGCTCGGATGAGTTCGAACATGGGTCATCTCGGATGAAAAAGTAGGTCACCGGAGCTAAAAATAGAAAAACCTTGTTAACACTCTAGCGGTCACATTTTTGCATCAATCATCATCAAACTTGGTCAAGATGCTTGTCTAGGTGATAGCTCGGATGAGTTCGAACATGGGTCATCTCGGATGAAAAAGTAGGTCACCGGAGCTAAAAATAGAAAAACCTTGTTAACACTCTAGCGGTCACATTTTTGCATCAATCATCATCAAACTTGGTCAAGATGCTTGTCTAGGTGATAGCTCGGATGAGTTCGAACATGGGTCATCTCGGATGAAAAAGTAGGTCACCGGAGCTAAAAATAGAAAAACCTTGTTAACACTCTAGCGGTCACATTTTTGCATCAATCATCATCAAACTTGGTCAGGATGCTTATCTAGTTGATAGCTCAGATGAGTGTGAACATGGGTCATCTCGGATGAAAAAGTAGGTCACCGGAGCTAAAAATAGAAAAAACCTTGTTAACACTCTAGTGGTCACATTTTTGCATCAATCATCATCAAACTTGATCAAGATGCTTGTCTAGGTGATAGCTCGGATGAGTTCGAACATGGGTCATCTCGGATGAAAAACTAGGTCACAGGAGCTAAAAATAGAAAAACCTTGTTAACACTCTAGTGGTCACAATTTTGACTCAATTGTCATCAAACTTGGTCAGGAAACTTGTCTAGGTCATTGCTGGGAAGAAATTGAACATGGGTCATCTCGGATGAAAAAGTAGGTCACCGGAGCTAAAAATAGAAAAATCTTGTTAACACTCTAGTGGCTACTGTTGTGATCCAAATATTCTGTTAATTGGTCTGAAAGTTTGTTTTGATGATTTCTAAGTCAAGTTCGAACATTGGTCATCTTGGATGAAAAAAACTAGGTCACACCGCCCAAATATGGAAAAAACCTTGTTAACATTCTA